CTCAGTATAGTCATCTATTCCAGAGCCATCTTCACTCCACATGCATGCACAGGGAACTTCATGTGTTCTTTCTTTTGCAATCTCTGTTGAGCATTGGTAGATAAAGGAACTTTAAGATCTAGTCATTTTCTTAGCTTATGATATTTATTAATACTTATACTATTTCTCATACCCTATTTAGTACACTTCTGCATGTGTCTCTTCCAGCACTACTTGTGCTACATATATTGCCTTTGACATATATTGCTACATATTTGCCCATCAGCCAATGTCCATCATCATGGCCTCCTAATCATCCCCATATATACTGATTAGCTTCATCACTCTGTCTCCTCTCCACCATTGAGCTGGTGTGTGGTGGGCGTTCTGGCACACTATATGGCTGCCATCGCATCATCCAGGTGGATTATGGGATCCCCCCTTCCATGCGTTTTAAATGGCGAGAAAAGCGTTATATAAATGTAACAAATTATTATTGTATATGAATGACACCACAAATCATGCTGAGGAGCAGTGTGCCATTTTCACCTGGCAGACGATAAAATGGACTAAAATTTCAGACTTCTCTTAGAGACCAGAGTATCAAAGAGACTTGATAGAGACTCGAGCCGGTTAGCAACCACATACAGTAGCAACCAGATGTGTTAAAAACCATTCGAAACACCTGAATAACCACATAGTAACACCCTGGAATTGCATCAGTGACCTTTGCACACACTTGTGAGAAGAAGTGCTTAAAAGGTTAGTTCACCCCAAAATGAAAATTATGTTGTTCCAACCCTGTAAGACTTTCGTTCATCTTCGGAACACAAATGAAGATATTTTTGATCAAATCTGAGAGCCACTGTAGTCACTCGGACTATTTTAACAATGTATTTAATAACTTTTGGGCCGGTCCGTTTCGATCCCTTAAGAAGCCTATGGAGGAGTGATCCAGCTCTCAGATTTCATCAAAAATATATTCATTTGTGTTCCGAAGATGAACGAAAGTCTTACGGGGTTGGAACAACATGAGGGTGAGTAATTACTGACAGAGTTTACATTTTGGGGTGAACTATCCCTTTAATATACTGAATGTGCACACTATACCTGCAGATATCATAGTATTAATCAAATAAAAGGCCACTTAAAGGGATAATACACCCAAAAATTTAAATTCTGTCATCATTTACTCACCCTCAAGTTGTTTCAAACCTGTATAAATGTCTTTGTTCCGCTGTACACGAAGGAAGATATTTTGAAGAATGTTGGTATGCAAACAGATTTCAGGCCCCATGGACTTCCATAGTAGGAAAAAAAATACTATAGTGGTCAATGGGGCCCACATTCTTCCAAATATCTTCCTTTGTGTACAGCAGAACAAAGACATTTATACAGGTTTGGAACAACTTGAGAGTGAGTAAATGATAAGATGACAGAATTTAAATTTTGGGGTGAACTATCCCTCTAAGGGCGTTTTCACACCTGAAAATCCGCACCAAGGTCCGAACCAAAGTTCACGTTTTGATACATTTTATACTTTCAGAAAGTTTTGGTTTGGTTTTACACTGCAATTATGTGAGCGCACTAAAGAACTTTACGTGACACACTTGCGTCCTGTCGTCATCATCTATGTGGGCTGCATCTTGACATTGATTGGTTTTGTAAATGGACGTGCGTCTGACGTCAGCGTGTCCTCAATTCGGCGGGTAACTTTGACAACATGAATGAACAGACGCATATCGTTGCAACTATATTGTTATTTTTATGGCATAATTACCTGCAGCACCAACTATACATGAGGCTAGTTCAAATTCGCCAAATGAACGTCCTCGTCGTGCGAACATTTTATCGTCGCCGGCAGGAAAGGAGGAGAAGACGGCAAGTTGACTTCTTCTGATGTCATCAGACCATACTTCAATTAAAAACCTCGTCTCCTCCTCTCCCCATGTGCTACACGGCTCATTTTTCCTGCCACCTTCTGTTTTTTCGGCTATGCGGGAACCACCGGAGCTTCCTGTAAAAGGTCTGAAAGTCCGAACCATACAGAAATGCTTTCACACTAGAAACGAACCAAACCTTTGTTCAGTTTGATCCGGACCGAGACTACCTCTTTTCGTCGGACCAAATTTCATCTGTTTGGTCCGGACCGTGGTGCGGGGGAGGTTTCACACCTGTAATTTTGATTCGGATTTCGGACCAAACTGAAAAGTCCGAAAGTCCGGACCAAACAAGGTAGGTGTGAAAGGGTCTACTTAAAGTTGGTACACTTTCATGGGCGTTTCTCAATACCTTGGCAGTTCCGGTGATTCTGCAAAAGGAACAGCAGCGTTCTCGATAGCGTCCTCCCTCAGCCCTCGGCCCTCGCTGCTCGCCACAGCGTCTCTAGCTCGCTCTGGCTACTCCGGTTATCTCTGTATGTTTCATTTTTGGCAACAAAAATACAACTGTCCACGCTTCTGAGAGCAACGTTTAGATGGATATGCTAATATATGCTGTGCACTTTCCTCTCAATAACAAAATGAACACAACACAGTTGACAACAGTGAGAAAACAGCAGTTAAGAAAGCGTCGGATCATGGTGATGTGGACATGTTTGCACCAGCTCTGTGATTCACCGGCATCATCTCGACAGATCAAGTTATTATAATTAAACTATCATAACAGTGTAATATTAAAGTATATTTGAGACTATACACTAGGCAAGATTGTAGTTTGAATGAATCCCTTTTCTTTGCATGACACATTGACATTATAGTACGGAATACCTCTTCTGATTTTCTCTTCTGATTTTCCTGGCAAAAACTTCTAGAGTCATACAAATCAGTCTCAGGCTTTCATAGACAACCTATGAATTTGGGGAAGGTCCCGTTTTTTTAAAAGTTTGTTACAAGCTGTTCACACATTGGCAATAAAAAGTAATTATTATATGAACATTCTTACATCTAGCTCCTTTATGTAGACTCTTTTTTTTTAATTGTACTTTGTAATAGTTTCAAAGTTTTACTTTAAAGTATATTTTAAATCATGTTTTAATAGTCATTTGTCGTGCTTGGAAGAAGTACACTTATGTGTTGACGATTATAATTTTAAGTATTTGATCAATTAAAGTTATTTGATAATACATTTAAAGTTAATATTAATTTAAGTGTACTAAATTGCATCTTCATCATCACAAATGTGCAATTACAAATATATTTAAATACATGAAATGCAAGTTTCGATAGAAATGACATTAAAGTATATTGTAAATGCTTGTCAGTACATTCAGCAGTACACCATATTTCAAAGACATTAGCAAGTAATTATGAAAATGCATATAAAGACGTACTTTAGTCCTACTGAGGTGGGTCAAAATTGCTTTTAATATAAATTTACCTGTAATAGTTTTTCATTTAATTGCAATGAACATTCAATAAAACATTGCAGTCAGTATGCACTTAAGTGTATTATATCTGTAATAAGTACTCGTTTTGTATGGCAGCACGCTCTTAATATTCATCACAGCAGCAGCACTACATATCTCAAACAGTGACAATCTAAAACTAGATTAAAAGGCCCCTGTCATTGATATATAGTCTCAATCTCGGGGATGAAACATGCTCCATTCTTTAATCAGGATCATGTGAGCTTTATCTGGTGGGGCTTTGGCCATCTAAATAGGACAAACAATAAAGATGAAAGTCTGTTTGTGGTTTTCTTCTTTACGGCTGAAAACCCTTGTTCTGTTTCCTGAGATCAGCGTGCACAGGAAGTGCGCTCTTTCTGTAATTGGCACATACGGCCTATAGTTGAAATCGCTTTATTATTTTGAGGATCAATGCATTTCCAGAATGCAGTCGACAGTAGCGTGGGTGTTACTTTGTTTTGTTTTTCTTCCTGGTGATGTGGAGAGTCCCGCCGAGCTGAGCTTCATGTTGGTGCATGGTACATTTTGCATAAGGGAGAGCTGTGGGAGGAGGGTGTGAAAGCAGACGCTCCATCCAGTGTATGTTTTGCTCTTTGTGTAAACATTTGTGACATCACACAATAACCTGTTTACATAAGGTCAGCAGCATCACTGTAAAAGGTGAAGTGTATCAAGTTACACATGCATGTCTTCAGCCAAATGCACAATATTTATATCATGTTTCATGATCTCTGTTATTACATAATATTTCATGATATCTTTAGCTTCTGGGCAGTTGACATTTCATTTTACTGTCCTTAGCAAAACATGTTTTCTCTTCTATACATTCATCGTTTGGCTGGATAACAAAGAACAAACATTATTTGTAAATACAATTAAATGATCTATTCTAGATTATATCATAATATTTCTCACTTTATACACTGGGGTTGAGCAATATTTATGCTGTCAACTTTTTCCATATAATATTTTAATCATTTGTTTGGGCTTTTGTACAATGACAGTATAAAACCAATTATAGCAAAAACTATATTATAGTTTTTGTTAATAATTTGAATTGGATTTTATTTGAAAATTTTCTGTTTTATAATAATAATAATAATATTTTCTGTTTTCATTTTACTTTTAGTAACATTTTTTTTTGTAATTTTGTTGTGCAATTTTGTCTTTTTATTAGTTATTGTTTTTTTTAAATATGTATCATTTTTGATACATTTATTTTAGTTTGTGAGTTTATTTGGTATAAATTTTGGTTACAGTTTATTTTATTTCAAGCAATACAAATATTTTTTTTATCATATGATTTTAGTTAACAATAATAAACCTGATTTAATTATTATTTAAACAGCTTTATTTAATTATTCAAACAACATGTTGTCTTTAATATTCCACATACTATTATTTACACAGTATAAATGGGTCTTTATACATCTAAATATTGCTTAGGATGGGGTTCCTTGCAAAGAGATCATCGTATTTGAGAGTCTTTGATAGCCCCTGCCTTGCACAAGTATATGCATGTTAAGCTAAACGTTTTTGTCAACTGCCATTCTAATCTCTTAATCCTGGCTTTGTTTTAATATCAGCAATGCTCCTCATTTTTGTCCATCAGGTAGAGGATGACAACGCTCTCACAGCGGTGTATGTAAACATCCCACGTGCGCGTCGGAGAACCATTGACACCTCCAGTCCCATTACTCCTCCATTACAGGACTTCCCGGACCCTCCCGATACCCTCCTTTTGGACTCTGCGGGATGGGAGGTCCATACTGACGACCAGAGCGGGCAAGAGTACTACTTCCACCCCTCCACGGGCCGGAGCACCTGGGAGTTTCCCCTCAGCTACTCCATGGATTCGTCAGTGGCGACGGAAGAGGCCCGTTCTCCTCCCTCTTTCCCCCAGTCTCCCATCTGCTCGCCCGCAGGCCCTTCTCCTCAGAGATGGAGCTCGGACTGGGAGAAGGTGCTGGATGACAATACTGGCAGACATTACTTCTTTAACTCTGTGTCGGGTCAGAGCTCATGGGATCCCCCGGAGGACATCAGCTCACCAGGGAACATAACATTTCTGGAAGATTTCCCGGTATGGAGGTTATTCTGCTGATTCAAACGAATGATACTTTGATATGTACTATGGTACTAAATGATTACCATATTCATATATGTTAATATGGCTAATTTTCAGTTTTAAATTAGTTATCACAAGGGTTCTTAGCCTGCCATTGCCCGCAACAATATTTGAAGGCCCCATGACTTTTTCAGTTTTTATTATAATTTCTACCCCATGAAATATTTTATAGCTTGGCATTGTTAAAAAAATACATATATTCATTAAAAAATGCCCATGAAGTTTACGAGGTATATATAAAATATTATTTTTTACGTAAGGTCTATAATATCACTGTAAAAGGTCATCTAAATTAAGTTACTTGGCTGACCTCAAGGATCCGTATTGAGGCCGATCGGTTTCTGCTATCCTTAGCCCGATCCTTTATTTTACGTCAGCAGGTGTCGTACAGTTGGTGGCGGTATGCACCTTCAAGTGGGTTTGCCAACCCATTAAAAGGAAAACATGAAGATCAAATGGGAGTGCGTGACACACCAATGGCCCTGTCCCAAATGGAACACTTTATATGCACTTTTGGACTTGTAGACTTACAATGGCTGCCGCGTACGCGTGTCCTTTAAGTCCAAGAGACCGTAGGGTGTTCGATTTGTAATTTTAGGTTTCAGAAGGCCCCTTTGCGGTCGAAATGCACCCTTGACGCACTGAAGCGAGCTCCACAGCAGACTTCTTCCCATCAGTCAAAGTGGTCACGAAAGTGCGGACTCAGAGGAAGACGCGAGCGTTTATTGGGTGCCATATGGGAAAGGGCCAATGAGGTCTGTTCTAGCGTCTCACGCGCATTCGAGTTTCCATGTTAGCATTTTTGATATGCACTTTTGTAATGAAACAATTGAAAGTCATTTATTTACTGTTTACTGACAGACTGGCATTCTGACTCTTCATGAGCTTCATGCTCTCTAACCTTATCTATACAGACATTCTTTTATCATTTTATTTTTTCTTGTTAAATTGTTAAAGGTTGATCTCTAACTTTAAAAATGAATAAGGGGGAGGGTTGTGAATGACACCCTGGGTCGATAAAGACCCGAGGTATGCATTAAAGCAGGGGTGGGGAACGTTGATCCTGGAGGGCCATTGTCCTGCAGAGTTTAGCTCCAACCCTGGAAAAAACACTCACCTGCCTGTAACTTTAGCAATCCTGAAGACTTTGATTAGCTTCAGGTGTGTTTAATTAGGGTTGGAGCTAAACTCTGCAGGACAATGGCCCTCCAGGATCAACGTTCCCCACCCCTGCATTAAAGGGTTAATCTTTATCCAGTAAATCATGAGCAACAGAAAATATCATAGGGCCTTTGAATATTATTGTGGAGAAAGTATATGCTGTGGAGCCTAAAGTATATGTTAACCAGAGTTGCATAAAAAAAAAAGTTAAATTAAAACTAAAGTTTGTCATTTCTGTGCCAAACGGAACTGCAAAAATAATGCATTGTATAAATTTGATAAATAATCATATTTTCACATTTTTTACCATTATTTCCTTACAGTTTGATTAATGTTCATACTGCCTTCTTTGCTTCCCAAAATGTAGCTTCCGCTTCCTGAGGAAGACTACCCAGCATCGCCAGAACTGGAGGAATCGTCTCCTCTCTCTATGCCAGCAGAATATTCTTTGATTAAAATGAAGAAGGTCTTTATTCCCAGGGTAAGTCTGGATCAAAGCACCCCACCAGGATGGACCCTCGGCATTGACCCTGAAGGAACTTGGGTCTTCACAAGCCACTTCACGCAGGAACAGGTACAGGACTCTTGACACTGACCTTGGCGTGTCCTTGTTTTGGGCTGGCTTACTTATATTATTGGGGCTGATTACTTGCTATTATTAGTGAGATGTATGATAGTATGGCTGTAGGCTAGTTTTGTAATTTGGTGAACTAATGAAGTGTCTTGTTGACAGTGGATTAAGTCGCTAGATGATCGAGGGCGGACATACTACTACCTAAGAGACGGCAGCAAGTCCCAGTGGAACTTACCTGAGGTGGGATACAGTGGGACACTTTTGGATGGGTCTCCAGAAGGCCTGTTCACACCAAGAACTATATTCGAATCCAAACCAGATGACTATAGCTTTGTGCTTTTCTGCCGTCTGCTGGCAATTTCTCTCAGTAAAATATTTTAGAGCATGGCATAACTATAAATATGCTTATTCATAAAGTGTATAAAAATGCCCATGGACTTTCAATATTTCATTTATCTCCATGACTTTTCCAGCTCTGGAAATCATACTTTTAAAATATGGTTTTCTTTTGTATCTAAGCTTTCCATGAAGAGAATCCTGGTTCGTCTTCTTCTTCAAAATAAATAAATAAAAATAACCACTTGTTAAGGGGGTAAATGAAGCTACAGTAAGACATATATTGTTCTTTTTAGTTGTTTTGTCTTATTTTAAATCATTGTAAGATATCTTAAGGCACCCTTGGAAGATTGCTGAGAACCACTGTCCTAAATTATGACTTACTTTCATGTCATTCCGACATCATTTTCTATATACAGTGAAAACACAAAATGATACATTTGGCAGAATGTCCTTGCTGCTATTTTACTTAAATCTAAAAGTGGCTGTTGATTTACTTTGAAACCCTTTTCACTCAGAAATTGCTAGTAAATTTCTCAAATTCCTACAAAGAAATTACAAAATAACACATTGAATAAGTAGAAAGATAGAAAAAAAAATGTTCTTGTAAAACGTACTCCAATAATCGTGTACAGTGTACTTACAATAAGTACAAAACCGTATCATAAAGGCATCATTTCTAATACAAATTCTCTCTCACACTTTTAGTACTCTGGAAATCCAGGGCAGTATGGAGTGGGAAATGGAGCCTCAGGAGAGCAGGACTCAATGGGATCGATGCAAAGCTGGAGACACAGTACAGGATACCAGGAAGATGTATGTACTCGCAGAGGTTTCCATCCAAAGTTGCCAATTTAACTATTGCCCAAAATCGTATAAAACTTTTGTGAATGAAGCACATCCATTCCATGTGTTCTAGAGAACAAAATCTCTGGGTAATTGTAGTAAAATATCTGTAATAAAAATGTACTATCATACTTTATCCAGCAGTTCATCCGCACTCATAAACAAACACTTCCACGGAGCGATGCCCTGACGTATGTGACGCACAGCTGATCCTTCATGTGTGTCCTTAGTGACCGTGTTTCCTAAATTGGCTCTAGAATGCACCTGAGACTCAGTTTGTTATAGAGTTGCTCTATTTAAAAATCCATCCCACCTACCCAGTCCTTCCTATCATTCAGTAGTATATGCAAACATATACTCACTATTTATTCTGTCTTCACTGAACTGATCCATGGAAATGAATTCAGTTACTGAAACACTGATACTGGACTATTTTACTAGTGGTGTTTACTAAGGCATGCTATGGAAAAATACTGAAAATTGTATATTTGCCAACAATTAAATGGCTTTGTCTCTCTTTTTTGAGCTTCGAAGGCATGTAGAGTGTGATTTACACATGTGATTTTGTCTTAACAGAAGAGTCATTCATCATACCCTCTGAATAGATCAGACAGTGACGCCTCCAACTCTCCTGAGATGCCACATAATGTAAGATTCCAGTTCAGACGTTTATGCATAAGAAAATGTGGGCAAAATTTTTTAAGTTTTACAATAAACTACATGAATGAAGTCTTCAAACATCATTCATGTGATTATTATATGCTCATTATTAGCTTACTGGCATGAATGTTAGCTAGAATCATGTGACTTGTTAGGTAGATATGCTGTGCCATGAACTTGTTTAAATGTTTTTCCTTGGGAACTGTTGGGTTTGGGAATGCCTGTATAAAGGTGTTGCATAAATGACACTGGACATTTTTATTATACAGTTCCACAATAAATGCTGGGTAAAGGTAGGCTAGGACTAGTGGAGAGATGTCTGATCAAAAGTGTTGGATTATGACAAGAAGAGTGACCCAGTGCAATATTTTGCCACACTGCCCTCTGGTGGTTCCTAGTGAAACTTAGAGCCAGATTGCTGCCTTCCACTCAGACAAACAAATACCAAACGTGTCATGATACTACCATGAGATTTAGATGCAAATTCATGGCAGTACCTTGAGTTTTTGGACATTTACCCTGTTCGTACCATGCGTACCATTTAAATACCTTAGAGGACCATTGATTTCCATGGTTTTACCATCTGAGACATCACTGTACCGTGGTACTGCCACACACAGTAAGGCTTTTATCATTCTTACTATCATAATATTGGATTGTTTGTTTTATACAACAGTTTTGATGCTGAATTCTGATTGGATGAGCCGGATGTAAAATGCAGATGAACAAACACTTGTGACTGCACATTCTATATTAATACACTAATGTTACTAGTTTGCTTGAAAACAATAAACAGCCTACACATTGGCTAATGAAGTACTATATTACTGCATTTGTATTTCTAATTATTATATTATTTGGATTATATTCCAAGTTGAACTTTATCTGCATACATACACTATACTAGCATGATGCTATACATGGTATATATCGGGAAATCTCAACAGCTTGATTTTCTTGTATCGTACCAAAATGTAAACTATATTATCGCCCAGCTCAAATCTGCTAAATGCGACTATAAGGCAAGAAGGTATTAAGGTATTATAAATATTATAATATTTATAAAATTTTCTGTAAAGCCGCTTTGAAACAATGTGTGTTGTGAAAAGTGCAATACAAAATAAATTTACTTGACTATTATTAATCACAAATTTAACAGATTATTGAAAATTGGCGTATAGTATATATTGATGTTTCCTCCATTTTATAAAAGCAATAGGACATTCAAGTTACAGTGATTTTACCATGATTAAAAGAGTTTTAGCTCAAACACTTCTTACCTGTGTGGATAACAATAGGCTGCTTGTGACTTATTTTATTAAATAAGCATAATAAACAATGTCATATTCTGAATGTTCTCTTAAATTTAAAACCATTGCTTTTTTTAAAAAAAAATAGCTAAACAATCATCTACCTTTTCTGTTCTGCATTTTGAGGTGAACCTCAAAGGTTAAAATTTACTTTACTTTCATGTTGTCAGATATTATTCTGTACTATTATCCTGATATTATCCTGTTTTAGTTTTTTTGTTTGTTTGTTTTCCCATAAAGGCTGTATTAACTCATTAATATATATTTTTTTCAGGTTTCAAACTTGGAAAAGGCTGGAATCCTGAACAAAACAAAGGTGTCTGAAAACGGGAAGAAAATTAGGTAAAGTTTTCCATCATGAACTTAAATCAGTGGTGGTACTGCTTTGATAGCTATAACTGTATTGGTGAAAAATAACAATTGTATGTAAATGTCTAACATTTGATCAATCCTCCCACAGGAAGAACTGGGGTAATTCCTGGACGGTTCTCCATGGAGGAAGACTGACATTCCATAAGGACCCAAAGTCCACGGCAACCGGAGCATCGGTGAGAATCTAAATCCACAAATGTAGAATTTGCATTATCAAGTATTTCATTTTGTAATACTGAATGTAATTGTATTATGTAGAGCAAGACAAATCATATAGTCCCAGAATTCACAGTTGATCTGAAAGGGGCTACAATTGGCTGGGCAACCAAGGACAAGTCAAGCAAGAAAAATGTTTTTGAGGTATGGCCGTTTCAACACTCCCCAAGATTGTGCTGGATGATCATCTACTTTACTAGTGTGTCTTGTTGATGCATTCCTTGTTTATTTGTTCATCAGCTGAAGAGTCGGAATGGCGCGGAGTACTTGATCCAGTACGACACTGAAAGCATCATCACTGACTGGTATAAAGTCATCGTAGATACCATAAGCCAGCTGGTGAGCCTTGCATCGTGATCAATAACAAACACTCGGTTATGGTTTTCTCCATGAAATCTGCATAATCGTGTCTGTCTTTTTGCTCCGGGCGTCAGGATTTGGAACAGCACCACTCTGAAGATGAGGAGGAAATCAGTGAGAAGTCCTCAAGCTTAGACAGAGAGGAAAAACCCTTTGACAAAAGAACTATGAGCAATGGTAGTGTGACAAATGACTTTTCCTCTTTTAGGGGCCCTTAGCGGTCAAAATAGACCGATTACAATAAGCGTAAAAAAAAAAAATTTAATTTAATGTACTATATTTTGGTTACATGATATTTACTCTTTAATATTTAGTATTTTGAGAGGATTTCACGATACTAGACAATATCCACTAAATTATGCAGCATTTATTTCTGTATAAAAACATTTTGATATGATTTTCAATTAATACAGTGTAGAGTAATGCGTGGAAGTAAGATTGGTGCCATCTGGTGGAAGAAATAGTGTGTGTGTGTGTGCTGTTAAATTGATTAATCACAATTAATTGCATCTAACATAAAAGTTTGTGTTTATATAATATATGTGTGTATATACTGTATATATACACACACATACATACTGTATATACGGTATATGTACACACACATGTATATTATTATATAAACTCAAACTTATGTTAGATGTGATTAATTACGATTAATCAATTTGACAGCACTGATATATATGTATGTACAGCAAGTGCCACAGAAGTCACTAAGTTTCAAACCATTATGATGTTGGAAAAAATTTCCAAAATTACCAAAAACCACCAGAGTTAAAGGGACACTTCATCCCAAAAATAAAAAATACTGCCATCATCGACTCACCTTCATGTCATTCCAATCCTGAGTGACTTTCTTTCTTCTGTTTAACACAATAGAACTTATTTTGAAAAATTATTTAAATTATTTTGTCCAACATTAAATGTTGTTTGGACCCCTATGATATAAGGTTGAGTAAATTATGTTAGTACATGTTCATCCATAAATAAAGAACTAAAGATACTAAAAAGTTGTTTGAACAGAGAATGGTAATGAGTGTAAATATGTAATGCCCTCTTCCTGTTCATTAGCATCTCGACTGACTTCATCCAGTTCGGCATCTGAAGCAGATCAGAAGAAGGTTCGCTCCAAACTGAAGAAGTTTCTCCTCAAGCGGCCCACCCTGCAGTCAGTCAAAGAGAAGGGATATATCAGAGGTCAGACCATTACTCTACCTCATCCATTTCCTATTACTTTGACAGAAGCTCAAGATTTCGTTGAGGAATGATTCTAATGTGACTCTTCGCCTCGTTTCATTTTAGAAAATGTATTTGGATGCCACTTGCACAATCTCTGTAACCAAGAGAACACGACAGTGCCCAGCTTTGTGGAGAAATCCATCCGGGCGGTAGAGAAAAGAGGTTTGTTACCTTTACCCAACTGCCAAACAGCATTACTAATTGAAATTATTTATGTCATTAATATCAAGGCCGGTTCATAATGGCCTTTTTATTGAAAGGAATTAAATAATTAAAGGGGTCGTATGATGCTATTTTAAAAGTTTGTTGCTTTGCTTATTGGGTGTAATGGAACAGGTTAACATGCTTTAATGTTCCAAACAAACACATTATTTTTCACATACTGTACATTATTGCAGCTCCTCTCTTCCCAGTCTGTCTGAAACTTGCTTATTTCTAGGAAGCCCCTCTTTCTGAAAAGCTCAGAGCGCTCTGATTGGACAGCTGACCCAGTGCTTTGTGATTGGCCAAACACCTCAAGATCTTGTCGTAAATTTAATGCTCCTAACCACAATCCCAAGCTTCAGCTTCCAAGGCAGTTGTAAACGCAGTTAATAATTGACATGGATTTATGGGAAAATAGAAAAAGAAATGAACGGGAAAAGAACAAGAAAAACGTTTTTTTTTTGTAAAGTAATCAATTTGAACTATTTGCAAATATTATTTCTATTTTAAAATATGCACACATTCACTCTTATTCATATGCCTAATATGTTGAAAACGCAAAGAGGCAAAATGTTCAGTTATGAATAACATGATTCATATAAATAGCTGCGTTTCCATTACCCTTCGATTTGCGCAGATTGAAATTGGGAATAGAAAATACGTTCAATGGAAACACGTCAATATCGCCAAAAAGTTTTACACTCACATGAGGTGGTTTTTCAGGCAATTCGAAAAATTAAATATTTCTCAAAACTACAATGGAAACAGTTTTTTCGCATAACAGGTCACCTGCCGTACGTAAAAGTCGATCATTCTTTAAAGATGGCGTGGTATGTTTGGACAGAAGATGAGACAGAGTTCTTTATTAAACTCATAAAAGACAAAAGAATTACGGGGAAATTGGATTTTAAACAACAAAGAAATGCCCCAATTTATCAAGACCTCGAAGCAGATATGAGGGAGAAACACCTAAACACCTCATACGTGCCGTTCCCAAGTGTAAGGGGCTTTCTTTAACATTAATACTTCAAATGACTAGTGCGGTGGCTGCGGTATACTTAAACCTACTAACATCCGTTGCCATGATTTATTTAATGACTTATCGCTAGAGGAACAATGAAGGTTTAGTCGCATAACATCGGTTAATGAAAACGCTGTCATTTCGCAATAGTATTTTATCAACATTTAGAAAATATCGCGCAAATCTGTAATGGAAACACGTCTACTGATTCAGCCTATATTTTCAATTCAAAATGGCAAAGTTTGACAAAATAAGTCAAGTAGTAAAACACTGGATATTACTGTGATTCGTTCAACATTTCACCTTTAAAAATTGAAGTGGCGTGCTGGAATTTGTGATCGGTGTATATGTACAGTAAAGCCCGCCTCCTCTGATTTGATTGGTCAACTCAATCATTTTGACACTGACAAGCGCTGTAGACCGCTGAGGCGGGCCAGTCTAAAAATGTCAATTCATAAACTTTATGGCATCCTAACAACAAGCAGAGCAACTATTAAATATCAAAAATGTCGAGTGTTCACAGCCCTGTCTAATATAAAAATCTCATCTTTGTTGTTGTCATCCATCAGGTCTGGGGATCGATGGACTCTACAGAGTTAGTGGGAATTTGGCGGTCATCCAGAAACTGCGTTTCAAAGCAGATCATGGTAAGATTAATCTGCATTCATTTTATACTCAGTTTTCCATCAACTCAGGTCTTCACCAAGATGTCATACTCTGTATTACAGTTTGTTTGTTTCTCCAAAGACTTTAGATGCACTGATATTACTATGAATGGGAGAAAGTGCAATGCACAATATGGCCGAATAAGTCCCGCCTTCTAAATAAAGTTTCAGTCTGTCAACTTTTGTACCACTTATTAGTTATATTCTTTTTTCTCTCATATTTGGTCAATTTAAATGACCCAAGCATTTTCCACTTATATTCACTGTGCTCTCTTGATGCTTTAGCCCAGTGTAGAAATGATTCCCAGCAGCAGTTCTGACTGACTCATGTGTTTCTCTGTGTTTCTCCAGAGAATCTGGACCTGGAGGAGAGTAACTGGGATATCCATGTGATCACAGGAGCACTGAAGCTCTTCTTCAGAGAACTGCAGGAGCCTCTGTTCCCTTACAATCTCTTCAATGATTTCATCTGTGGCATCAGTAAGATCCTGATTAAATGGATTGTACATAAAAACGGGGGGCATTTGTCTGTCTCTATCTATCTGTCTGTCTGTCTGCTGTCTATCTGTCTATCTATCTATCTGTCTGCTGTCTATCTGTATCTATCTGTCTGTCTGCTGTCTATCTGTCTATCTATCTGTCTGTCTGCTGTCTATCTGTCTATCTATCTATCTGTCTGTCTGCTGTCTATCTGTCTATCTATCTATCTGTCTGTCTGTCTATCTGTCTATCTGTCTATCTGTCTATCTATCTATCTATCTGTCTGTCTGCTGTCTATCTGTCTATCTATCTATCTGTCTGTCTGTCTATCTGTCTATCTGTCTGTCTGTCTGTCTGCTGTCTGTCTATCTCTCTATCTGTCTGTCTGTCTGCTGTCTATCTATCTATCTGTCTGTCTGTCATTCTGTCTGTCTATCTATCTATCTATCTCTCTATCTGTCTGTCTGTCTGTCTGCTGTCTATCTCTCTATCTGTCTGTCTGTCTATCTATCTCTCTATCTGTATGTCTGTCTGCTGGTTGTCTATCTATCTGTCTGTCTGTCTATCTGTCTGTCATTCTGTCTGTCTATCTATCTATCTCTCTATCTGTCTGTCTGTCTGTCTGCTGTCTATCTGTCTATCTATCTATCTGTCTGTCTGTCTGCTGTCTATCTATCTGTCTGTCTGTCTGTCTGTCTGTCTGTCTGTCTGCTGTCTATCTATCTATCTGTCTGTCTGTCTGCTGTCTATATATCTATCTGTCTGTCGGCTGTCTATCTGTCTGTCTGTCTGTCTATCTATCTATCTCTATCTGTCTGTCTTTCTGCTGTCTATCTGTCTGTCTGTCATTCTGTCTGTCTATCTATCTATATCTCTATCTGTCTGTCTGTCTGCTGTCTATCTATCTGTCTGTCTGTCTGTCTGTCTATCTGTCTGTCTATCTATCTGTCTGTCTATCTGTCTGTCTGCTGTCTATCTGTCTGTCTGTCTATCTATCTGTCTGTCTGTCTATCCATTATCTATCTATCTGTCTGTCTGTCTGTCTGTATGTCTATCTATCTCTCTATCTGTCTGTCTGTATATCTATCTCTATCTGTCTGTCTGTCTATCTATCTGTCTGTCTATCTATCTGTTTGTCTGTCTATCCATTATCTATCTATCTATCTATCTATCTATCTATCTATCTATCTATCTATCTATCTATCTATCTATCTGTCTATCTATCTCTCTATCTAATCTATTTATCTGTCTATCTATCTAATCTATTTATCTGTCTGTCTGTCTGTCTGTCTATCTCTCTATTTATCCATCGAATCTATATCTGTCTGTCTATCCATATTCATCTGTCTGTCTATCTATCTAATCTATTTATTTGTCTGTTTGTCTGTCTACAGAAATCCCTGATTATTTAAAAAAAATATCACACATGAAAAATATTGTGCGGTCTTTGCCAACACCCAACCGTGACACAATGGAGGCCCTCTTCAGCCATTTACGCAAGTATGTTGTTATTCTTTTACATGCATATATTTACATATTTGTCTATAATATTGTAAATATTACAGTATGTATCTACAGCATGTCTCTCTGTCTCTTTCTTTCAGGGTCGTTCAACATGGTAATGAGAACAGAATGACTGTGCAGAATGTGGCTATCGTCTTCGGCCCAACGTTACTCAAACCAGAGGTGGAGACAGCGAACATCGCCACATACATGGTCTTCCAGAACCAGATTGTAGAATTCTTACTCAATGAATTTGAGTCGATCTTCCACATGTGATTGACATGAACTTGCACTGAATAAAAAAAACAACTCTCAAATGCTGGAGAGAAGGTGTAAAACTAATCTCAGTCCAGTGAGAAGGACATTATGTTTCAGTTCTGTGAAGGAAAGCCTCTGACTGGCACATTATGGAGAAGGTTATGAATAGATATGCAACAAAAATCTAGAAAAGTAGCCTCCATGATTAATTTATTAATATCACTGAAACGGAATGAAGGTTTTACATGAGCAGTTTAAATATTGAATGGGCAATACACATTTTAAAATTTTATAATTTAATATAGTTTAAATATTTTGATGTTTCATTTTAGAATTAAGGAGAGCTCCCATCACAGAACGTTTTCTAAGAATATTAGTGAGCTTTCTTTTTAAAATAGTTATCAGCTACTACTGGCTTTTCTTGCTACAAACGAAACAGGTCAGTTAAATAATAATTTAGTTTAACTTTGCTTTTCTGTGGTCTATTGCGAGCCCTGCGAAACACTGAATGTTTTATCCTATTCCTTGGCAATGTGATAATAGATGAATGATATTAAAGTACAACATTTTTATGTTTAGGTATCAATTTGAGTTTTTCTTCTTTGAAAACTTGCATCTGTAACATAGAACTTTACAAAGAAAATACTGCAGGCCTGTAATTGTAAACTGGAAATGCTAAGTTGTAAGACTTATACATTGTCATTAAAGGCACAATATTTTAGATTTTGTGGTACCAAAATATAGAATCTGTGAAATAGAATTTGCACATTGATCTAGCATTAATATTTTATGAAAATTGGCACACTTATACAGTAATAATCATTGTAAGATGTTTAAAGGTGTGTGTATATAGAAAAGGCATATTTATGCTGTACATTACCTGAAGTAAGCAAGCTTTTAATAAAGTAACTCTTTTATAAATAAATGCTTCATTGTTATTCACTTTTTTATTCATAGCTACTGTGACCGATATATATTGATGAAATGATTGATAACTGTTAAAAGATTTCAGCTAAATTGGTATGCTCAAATCATTTTATATGTTTAAAATGTAGGTTTCAAGTAAATAAGTTTAAATTCTCTTCAGGAAAAAGAACAATGTAATTCTGAGTAGCTAAAAGAAATAAATGGCTGGTGAGAGGGAAATTTTAGTGACGGGCGGGAATTCTTGAGCCTCATTTTTGTTTATTAAATACATTAAAAAGGATGTCCCATTTTTTTCAGGTTAACATTGATATCGTTTCGTGCACTTTTCTTATTTCATTACACTGCCGAATGATGGCAGTACGACACTTTTGTTTCTTCCGTTAAATCTCTAAAGAAGAACGCAGTCTCATGGATTCGGGTTTGTTGATTGGTTAAAACTAGTTAAGGGGCGGAGTCATTATCTTTTGAAAGTAACCGTGCTTACTTACTTATTTCGACAGGCGCCATTGTTGAGGAGTTTGTATAGATGTTGTGATCCACTGAATTATATTTATTTAGCAAAACATCTTTTTTGTGCTGGATTAGATCAACCAAGACCTGATTTAACAGTTACACAAGTAAATAGGTAAGTTTTTTTTTTTATTTAGTTTATATGTAACTTACATAAGACTTTTTTGTTTTTGCTTTTGAAAGGGAAACGCGTCAGTCCAGGCATTAATGCTAGCTACTTCAGCAACCGTAAAGAGTTAGCTAATAAACGCATTAAGAAAACTGAACTTTCTTCCATCTAATGTATCTACATGTCTTTTATTACTTTTATATCGATACTGGACTTATTTCTCGGTGGATATCAGGAAGTATTTGATCGTGTGTTGTGCAATCTCAGATATGGCGCAGCGTGTGGCTGTGACTGAAGCTCCTGCTGGATCCAGACGGACTTCCAGAGTTCGTGTAGCGGTTCGGCTGAGGCCCTACATGGACGCGCAGGATGAAAAGGCAGAGGGGCCTTGTGTCAGGGGCCTGGGGCCACAAAAGCTGGAGATCATCAACTGGAGGAACGCCACCGAGACCCTTCAATACCAGTCAGTATAACCATTAAAGTTTGCAGCTTATTTATTCCTCTCATTCTGTCTTCTTTATTATTAAGCACTTTAGCAGGTCATGGTCTCAGTGCAGTAGGTCATGATTTGGTAGCTGGTGCTGAAATGAATCTTCTCTTTTAATGTAAATCCACTGGCTCTTCGTGTGCCTGTTGGGATAATCAGGAAGAGAAACACTCATAACACTCTTTTATTCTTGGAAAAGAGGGTTTTGCAGGAAACTTGATTTCATTAGTTTCCATATTTAGATCAATTATGAAAATTATATAGGCTTAATACGACGACGTTGATCCTTAGTGTTTTATTTCTTATTTATTGTTTAATTTGATTTAAAGCCCATGTATGAGAGCTTTTTTTTTTAAAAACCGTATTTTTCTACGTTTTTTTTTTTTTGGCATAGTTCACCTAAAAATTCTGTCATTTACTCACGCTCGTGGGGTTCAAAACTCTTAAGTCTTTCATTCATCTTCAAAACGCAAATAAAGATATTTTTAATGAGATATGAGAGATTTCTGTCCCTCGGTTGAGAGCCTATTTACCCAAGAGCACCACTGATGCTTCAAAACTTTCATAAAGAGTTTGTAAAATGAATCAAGTGGTTTAATTAGTCTTCTGAAGAGACACAATCGCTTAATATGATGAACAGATTTCATTTAGGCTTTTATTCACATATCAACATTGATCAGCAAACTACATAGAGCACTCAAATTCATTTGGTAAACGGAACCTCATGCTTGCATGACGTGTGAGAACAAAATTGGATTTATTTGATCTCTTTATGAACGTTTTGAAGCTTCAGGTTTGGGTGAATTATAGAGACTCAGGTGAGGGACAGAAATCTCTCATTTCATTATCTTCATTTCATAGTTTCAGAGAGGAAAGAAAGTCTTACTGGTTTGGATCGACATGAGAGTGAGTGACAGAATTTTAAGGACAACATTTTTACAAATTTTTAAAAGTAACATAAAATTGTTGTTATTAATCTTGGTACTCAACAAATGATGCCATTAGGGCTTAGTTTCTCAGACAGTGCTTATAATGAGCCAAGATTTGGACCTTTAAGCAGCTTTCATAAATGTGCCTTAGAAAAAAACATTACTGATGTGCATCTTGAGACAAAACACTGGCAGTGACATATTTGAAGATATACCCATGCTAGCTTAAGCCTTGTCTGTGAAACCAAGGGCACGTGTTTTTGCAGCGATTGATTCACGCTGGTCTGAATTGTATGTAGGTTTGATGTGTTTCATGGTGAAGAGACCACACAGCAGGAGGTGTTTCTGACCTCTGTCAAGCCCATCCTCCCCCACATCCTTAATGGTCAGAATGCCAGTGTGTTTGCCTATGGACCCACCGGAGCAGGTATCGTTCCTGGCTTTATATCTTTTGCCTTTTTAGATTTGAACTAAGTTTTATCATGTGATTCTTATTGAGATTTTCATGATGTGCTATTATATAGACATTTCACACTCTAACACGGAAGATTTCTTCATCCTCTCTTCAGGAAAGACCCACACCATGTTTGGCAGTCAAGAGGAGCCGGGGGTCATTCCCAGAGCTGTGAAGGAGGTCTTCAATCTGGTTGGAGCTCAGGAAAAGGGGCAGGATGGTTGGGAATACTCGGTTGGGATGTCTTACTTGGAGATCTACAATGAAAAGGTATTCTCTTGTGGTGAGCATGCTTACCACAGAATAGTTGCGCTTTTTAAGTTTACATTTTTTTTATTATGGCTGTCACGGTTCCTTGATTAAATTAATCTTGTAATGAATGGCATTTTAGTTCTACTTTATGAGTGTGAATTATCATTGAAAGACAACCATATACAATAACTGTAAAAGGTTTAAATAATTAAGTAATTTTAAAGGTTTAGGTCTTTGCTTAGGTCTATTTTTATTACCACAAAAATAAAAAATAAATTTATTTCTTAGATGTACAAAGTAAGTTTGGTGTCAGTAAATGTTTTTGAAAAGTATTTTATGCTCAGCAAGCCTGCATTTATTTAAGAATACAGTAAAAACATTTAATTTTGTGAGATTATAGATATAGAGGTTTTCTATTTTAATGATTGTGGTAACTTTTTATATATATGATTCTTGAATGAATTGAAACAACATTTTAAGTCTTTTGTAAAAGTACAAATGTCACTGTCACTTTTGAACAATTTAATTCACCCTTGCTGAATTATTTTGCTCCAGTTTATTTAAAAAAAAATGTATATTATATATCAAATGTAAACTTTTTTGCAAGCCTTATTTTTAAAATTTTCAACATGTATTTTTGTTAATACTAATACCCTATTTCAGTGGGCCAGTGTTGTTTTCGTCAACGATGACGATAACGAAATGATTTCGTTGACGCACTTTTTTTTATGACGATAACGCGACGATGACTAGCTAAAAATGACTCTAAGTAGGGCTGGGCGATATGGAGCAAAAAATATATCTCGATATATTTTGCTATATCTCGATATTCGATATATATCTCGATATCTTTACAGGAAAATGGATGTGAATACAACTCAAAATATAGGCCTACAATCAATAGAAAATTAATTTTCCATAACAGAATGTAACCAAATGAGAAAAATTAAACACAGGGCCTGAATTTCGTCATCATTATTAATCACGTGATTCATATACAGAAACTGAATAAAGAAATCAAATGGAAAATAACACTGAGTAGTATTTTAGTCCTGAATAAATTAAATACATAGGTTATTAATCCTGATTCCTTTAACTTAAAGCTATCTTTTGTTGTATTGACAACAAAATGAATGACACACATATGGCTGCCGTCACTTTAAGAGCTAGTGCACAGATCCTGTGTTCATTATACTGGCATGCGTTTTATGCTTATTAAAGACAAAACCGACTATGTTTAGAGTATACTCACGACGACCGAAATTGACAATTTTGCGTGTTAAAGCAATATAATCCGCGAAAAACAACTTTTGTTACTGGCCAGCTGTTCTTAAGGCGGATTTTCTATGAATGTGCGCATAGAAAATAATCTCTCAGAGAGCG